ATACTGTAGAGACGAGGTCTTATCAAATTGCTCAGGCTGGTCTCGAACCCCTGGACTCAGGCAATCCTCTTGCCTCTACCTCCCAAAGTGCTGGGATGTCAGGCATCAGCCACCGTGCCTGGCAGAGCTGACTACTTTAAATATCAAGTTTTTGTTTTGTTTTGTCTGAGTTGGCGCGTCTCACTCTGTCGCCCAGGCCGGAGTGCAGTGGCATGCTCACAGCCACCCCAGCATTGACCTGCGGCTGCCTCAGCCTTCCGAGTAGTCGGAGCTACAGGCGCGCGCTACCATGCCTGGCTAATTTTTTGACTTCTTGTAGAGATGAGCTTTCACCAGGTTGCCCGGGCTGTTCTCAAACCTGTGGACTCAGACAATCCCCTCACCTTGGCCTCCCAAAGTGCTGGGATTACAGGCTTGAGCCACCACACCCAGCCTGTTTTATTTTTTTAAGTCAGGATTTCACTCTGTCATCTGGGCAGAGTGCAGTGGCACAATCACAGCTCAACACAGACTTGTTCTCCTGGGCTCAGGCGATCCTTCTGCCTCAGCCTCCCAAGTAGCAGGGACTACAAGTGCCTACCACACCTGGCTAATTTTTTGTTGAGATGAGGTCTCGCTATGTTGTCCAGGCTAGTCTCAAATTCCTGGGCTCAAGCAATCCTCTTGCCTCGGTCTACCAAAGTGCTAGGATTACAGGCATAAGCCACCGTGCCTGACCTAAATATCAAGTTTTGAGCTGTGAATATTTCCCTGGAGAGGATTTGAGACAGATGGCAGTGCTTCCCAGGGTAAGACAAGAGATGTTCTGAAGACACAGAGGTCCTCGACCCCAGGCCTAAGATCATTCTCTCTTACCTGAGTGACCAGAAGGCTGGTGGCCCCCAAGCCTCATCCCTGAAACCAATGGCTGTGGAGTCATGTGCACTTGCTAAGATACAGGCTGAACATCACTAATCAGAAAATCCAAAATCCAGGCTGGGATTACTTGTAATCCCAACATTTTCGGAGGCCAAAGCAGAGGATTGCTTGAGCCCAGGAGTTTGAAGCTGGGGTGCATTGTGATTGTACCAGTGCACTCCAGCCTGGGCAAACAGAGTGAGATCCTGACTCAAAAAACTAAAATACAAAGAAAATCTAAAATCCTAAATGCTCTCAAATCTGAAGCTTTTTGGGTGTCAATATGACGTCCGGAAGAAATGCTCACCGGAGCATTTAGGATTTCTGATTTTCAGACTGAGACTACTTAACCGGTAAGTATATATACTGTAAAATATTCCAAAAATCTGAAAAAATCTGAAACCCAAAACACTTCTGGTCCCAAGCATTTTGGATAAGGAATATTCAAGTTGTGGTATTCAGAGGAAGTTTACACTGACCACCCTTCTGCGGGGGGCGGTCTGTGATCTGAGAACCTCTTGAGACTCTGGAAAGATTCAGAAGTACCCTGCCACGGCAAGTCCCTGTACGATTGGAAGGGAGGGGGAACAGAAGGAGCCTTAGTAAGCCTCTGTCCCAGCTTGCCTCGTTCACCAGGACACACTGGCAGATGGAATATATCACACTGAATTTCTCTTTCTATTTCTGAATGGATTCTTGAAGATTTCACCCACCCCACTAGAAAAGAGAATGTCCTAAATAGACAAAAATGTGGAAAACAGAAAACTCACCAGTTTACTACCTATATAAAACAATATTTTGTTTTATTTCTGTCATTTTTTTTTTTCTGAACTTACTTTTAACAGCAGAACCTCTTACACTTGGGTGTTTTTGTTTTGTTTTCGGCTTCTGGTTTTGTCTTTAAGATCTCAAGAAGGAGGGTGGGAGTTTCTAAAGATAAGAAACAACGGGGTATGGTGGCTCATGCCTACAATCCCAGCACTTTGGGAGGTAGAGGTGAGAGGACTGCCTGAGTCCAAGGGTTTGAGATCAGACTGGGCAACTTGGTGAGACCTCATCTCTACAACAAATCAAAAAATTAGACAGAGCCGGGCTCGGTGGCTCAGCCTGTAATCCCGCGCCTTTGGGAGGCTGAGGTGA